AACTAGGTTGTGATAAAGCGGGATATCGAATTATTATATTATTTCTATTACCTAAAGATAGGAATATTTGTCTTTGGAGTATGTGCATTGTAGTATGAATTTTATGTATCAAATTAATACCACATTTACAGGACTTATGTATTTGATTTTTTTCTCACATAAAATTGTTCAGTGTTTGTTTATATCCTGGTGTCTTCTTACATAAAGCTTTCTGCATAAATATCCATGACCTAGAACATTCATATAAAAAGGAAAAATAAATTTAATGATTTGTAACAAAAACCTGGTATGCAGAATCCATATAACAATTACATGTATATATAATTATGACTATATACATGTAGTGCTTTACAATATCTTATTGATAATCAAATAAGTCATAATTTGACTGTATCAAATTATTCACATACTGCATAATTATACCTGGTCTTCAACCAAACTTACAGGAATGATAAATATTGATAATATTTACTTTCATGATAGTAGATAAGCTAGAAATATATATACACATGTAGAATACACTATTATTAAAATAAACAAACGTGACTTACTAACAGCTTATTCCACAATCCATATTGAACAATATGACATGTATAATATGTGTTGCTAAATCTATGAGGAAGTAAGTAAGCTCACCAGTGTCCCATTTCCAAGTTTTTACACCATTACATTTTTTCTTCAAAATATTAATTAATATCTTGATTAATATATCACCAGAAATAAATCTTGGTGAATGCTTGGTTCAGCAAAGAGACTATTAATATACTAAAAGAGACATTAGCAGTAGCTATTACACATTCATTTTCACATGTTATATTTCAGTATACATGTATCAGGTTTTGTCACATTTGATCTGACATTTATCAAATTATCTGTTGTTACTTTGCTATTACCTGGTTATCTACGAAACTGTAATTATGTTGTTTCTATTCATTTTCCACCCTTGTTATGATGACCTATGTACTTATAAATTATTCTCTATGATTTGATATATCCAGGTTTGGCCTATTGTATTTTACATTCCGTCCTTACTTCCTGTAATAATAAAAAACAAATTATGCATCTTTTAAAAAATTACTCTGATTTGTTCAAATATGAATATAATTTGACAAAAAGCACATGATATACTGCACACAACACACTACAAATACAATAAGAAACAAAGTGATTTGTTTACTAATTTTAGAATATTTCAATGAAATTGGTTACTTTGATGTTTTGAGTTGAAATGCAACCTAATAAGATATATTCTGAACAAAATTTCACTCCCTTAAACAGAAATTTCCTACCACCGCTTTTCCTAAATCTAGAGAGCTGCTCATGGCTCTTGTTAGTACCTAATTACACCCCCCAACTGGTACACTGAGAAACGCACTGAAGTCCTACGTGAAAAAAGTTGGGGTCATTGACGATGCTCGAGACATTTATTTTCATTTGCAGTTTTCAAACGTTCTTTCGTATCACTTGAAGCTGTTTACACTGGCATTTATTAATCATTTCTGAACAAAATCTCTGTGCTTCGAATGATATTTTCAACGTCAAGACCTTCAGTACAGTGCTGTAGAGAAGTGTCGCCGTCAGTGTGAGGGGCATAATTCTTCCATCGTACGAAATTACCTATTCCGTTCAAGTGATGATAGACTCTGAGGATCGTTTGTTCTATTCAACATGTAAATAAGTGAGCAATAACAGCGGAAAGCACATATTCGTTCACTTTCAGTCTTCATCCTCAGCAGATGTAATATCGCTGTCATCAGCTGCGATGCTAAACTTCCGGTGTAAACGACTTTCGTTCTTATTTACGGGAGTTCAATATCACATTAAATACGACTACTTAAATATGAGGATGGTCGCACTGTATAGTTTTCATTTTTTTTAACTTTTTTAATTGTTGTTAATAATTGTCGATGACACTTTTTAAATCCAAGCGTGGTGTCTTTAGGTTACCGTAAATCATTCTGAAATTTAGCCAACATGCGCAGCTTCTGCGCAATAGCGCTAAATTTGAGAAGGATGGACCCACCTTAAGACCCCTTTATTTAGATCCTTTTTCTCTTACACAAATTTTACTGTGGAGTTGAATGAATATCATTTTGTTTGCAACAAAACAGAAACCAGAACAACATTTTATTCAACCGTCAATTAGTCTGTATCTAAAATAAAATTCTCTGGATTTGTATGCACTAATATAAATAAAAAGTATCGTTCTGATTGGTCAATATTAAAAGAGAAATCTTCACACTGTTAACAGATATTAGTTTAGGTTTATGTCATGGCTTATAACGTATCCAGGTTTTTATCAAGAGCACAAAACCTAATATGTCACTGGCAAAATGAAATTATAAAATAGCTAAGTTTGTCATGGAATAATAGGGCTTTTTAAATATGTCCCTAACCTGATATCTTATAGATATTTAAAAAGGTTTTTTGTTTACTATACATAAACATTGTCAATGCAAACTTCCTGAATGCCAGCTAGTCATCGATGCATGAATGCGGTACATTTTCTACCCTTTACGTTTGGTGGTTTCAATTCAGATAATGTATGCTACTCAACAACAAATTAAACATACAAACCAGGAGTCTAGTATATCATTTATTTTGTGAATTGAGAAAGGACTTAGGATAACATAATACATGTAACGACTTTCAAGCGCCATTTTGATTATTAGAATGAATCTGATCTGCGATTTTCCTACACTGTACCTCGGCTAATATAATGTGCATAAGCTGTGATTCTTCTCCTGATTTTTGAGAGTATCACTGATACTTTTTAAATCGTTTGATGCTGTGTTTTTGGAATGTTTTACGTACATGTACATCACAGATAAAACTGTTATGGGTAAACGTTACTTATGTTAGTGCTCATAGCCACGAGTGCGCTGTAGTAATATGGACACGATTTCTTTTATCTAAGATCAATATCATTATTTTTTGACAACTTGCTATAAGAAAAACAAATAAAATAAAATAGATCTTTATATAAATAAATTTATATTGATAGTGACTTTGTACGTTGTTTTGTGTTAGCACCATCGATATCATTGGATGTAAGTTAGTCTGTAGTATTCCATAGTAACAATTATAATCACTTAAAAAACCGGATTAAGCATATATTGTTAAATTGTGTTAGTCAGTAGAATTTCTGTTGAATTATATTGTCCTTAAGCTTCCGTCTATGTTAGTATTTCCAGTGCTGCTTAAGACAAAAAAATGCAAATCCACATATAAAGTGTCCAAAAATAAATGCATTAAATGACAAAACGGAAAAAGTGCTTTTGAAATGTTATAAAACGTAATAAGCAATTTTTCACGGCAAAAGATAGTTTTCTGTATATTAGTAAAGTGTATTTCATGTAAACCGTGTACAAATAAATAACAGCCTCAGGGCTACGTTTGACCTCAGTACCAGACATTTCACTAATAGAGCCAACCACACTAGAAATAAACAGTAAAACGACACCCATTGAAACCATCAAGTCGATACAGATATCCTTAGCAAACATTGTTGCTATTAATAGACTTGAATCAGCTAAATTGAATGCGGACCATTACTTACACGGTAAATAAAAATATATCATATTTATAGAAACAGCAGTAGGATTTAAATCACAGAGTATGTGTCAGCAATAATTAGGACAGTTCAACAAAACAACAAGCCATGGTTTCGTAACGCTTCATATGATGTGTTGTGTAAAAGGCATTAATGTAAAGTACCATGTTTATAGACCAATTTGTGTATTCAAACCACGATGATCTGAATGTTTATAGCTCACAATTAGCGTAAGTTCAGTATCTTTTGTGTAAACAAACACATCTGTTATCAATGAGCATTTTCCCACGAAACTCATACATTTACCGCCAACATTAAGGAAGGCGATTGTCATATTTAAGTAACCATTAAAGGCGATTGTCATATTTAAGTAACCATTAAAGGCGATTGTCATATTTAAGTAACCATTAAAGGCGATTGTCATATTTAAGTAACCATTAAAGGCGATTGTCATATTTAAGTAACAATTAAAGGCGATTTCACGGTATGTAAACTCCTTTTCAGTAACCGGGGAAATGGAAACGTTAGAAAAAGGAATGTGTGTAAAAAAAATTAGGTGTCGATTCTGGGGAGAACTTTTCTTATATATGTTGTACAGAGTGTTGTATGAAGCGTAATTAATTTTATCTCTTATACGCAGATGGCCCATAGTTGCACTCGGTCATAGCTTGACAAAGGTACCAGTCGGTCTTGCAACGTTGCGACACGTTATATATGTACATTGTTTGTTTAGAAAGTAAAACTTTGATAACACACATTTCCAAACTGATGAATCTTATTGAAGATACATGCATGATTGGTGGTAATGACGTTTGTTTTCACACAATTTGTCCTTTGTTTCTTTGAAATTTTTCATCCCGTCTTTAATTTCTATGTAAGTGACAATATTGTTATGTGCGAGCACATGATATAAAGATTGGAATTTGATGTAAACAGTGCTCACCTGCCTTGACCAGATATCTTAGCTTTGATAATACCTACCTTAAATGTAAACCTAAATAGAACAAAAACCATTATCTGCAACTATATGAGAGAATACAGAGCTGGCGACAAAACTGCTATTCGACTTAAAAATCAATAAAAAAAACAAAGGCAAAATATGACAAAGAACCACTGAAAGAATGAGAAAAAATAAGAACTAAAGTTCCAAAGGGGTAGGCTTTTTTGTTCCATCTACTACACTAAGTTTAGGTCGAATCCAAGAATGGTCATGGACTCAAAACCTTGGCATAGACAACGAAACAACCAGTCACACTTATGAGCATTACCAAAGACACCGACAATCAACATATTTTTGTCACGCAGCTTCTACCAAAGAAAGAAATTGATTTTGTTTCTAACATTTTCTTCGCTATCCTCACCGTCCACAAAAGGTATGTTATTTCTTAATCTGTATTTTACGTACAAAGAACATGATATATAATGTATGATTTTGTTTCTTTTGTAGATCCATCCATTTTGGTTTCCGTTGACCAAGGTTTGTTTACTCCTAGCGGTATTTACGTTTACAAAGGCGATAGTATCAGCATCAGAGGTTCATCTGCTGTTAATGTCACCCAAACGACACTGAGTAACGTCAAAATCAGGAGCATGGACGTCAATACAGCCGACGGATCAGTTTATTTCTTTGATATCACTTCTCGATGTATCTATCGCCTTCATTCCAGAAAAGTGGATAATGTCCACTGCGGGGTGTCCAGTTCAGTGTTCTCCTCTATAGCCTATGACTGGATCGGTGGAAACATATACTGGACCGATGGTTTCTTTAACTGGATAGCTGTTCAGCCTGTTAGCACCACCGACAAGAGTATGTACAGGGTCATAATCCAGGACGACATAGAAAAACCGAGGGCAGTGGCGATAGATTCGAAAGCAGGGTAAGATTGACGCATACTACTGAATACACTAGTAAACTGTTTTGTTTTCTTGACATATTTATGCATCATATTATTTGTCTGCAATCCCGTTAAGACTTATATATCTCTTTGAACAGCACGCAGTTAGATGCTTCTTTGTTTTAATGATTGTAAATATTCTACACGAATTTCATATTTCTCCTACAAATATTAGATATATTTTGTATAAATGTAACAACAAATATCCAGCGTCGGTCAGGTAAACCCAATTTATGATAGAAACGTCACAATTATATTGACATCACGATCATCATTTTAAATGTATATCATAATACACAGCTGGATATGTATGCTTATATCATTGCGATGCAGATCAAATGTAAATGTAACAATAATATGAACTTCTCTTCTTTTAGATATATGTTTTGGTTTGATATATCCCCATCTGGCTACCGGATAGAACGAGCGTTGCTTGATGGAACAGTCCGTGTGCCAATCATAACCACCAGTCTGTTGAGCGTAGAAGATATCGAGATAGACGCTGGTGAACGGAGGCTGTACTGGACAGACGCTGGAAGAGACACCATAGAGTCTTCCCAATATGACGGAACAGACAGAAAGATTATTTACAGGCAGCTGAATATCAATTTCCGTTCAATTGCTGTTGATACGGTAATCAGAGTTAACATTAAATTTGAAGCATATCACTATTCAGTGATATTTCTATGATTGAATGACTATCAAATGTACAGTCCCCATTTTGCTCTACAACTCCGTATTACCTTTATGCTGTAACCCAATACGCTTCTCTACGTTGGTAAAATGTCCGAACGGTTTTCAGTGATTAATGTAACGTTTGATTCAGTTGAATTGAGCTTTAACAACAGCAGACCGAAAGCGTATAAACCTATTTCGCCATCCAACCATCCTATGGTCATCTGCATGTAAAGTAAGAAAAATACTTACAGTTTGGTTTTATTAGGTACAATGAAATACTTCATTGAAATGTTCTTAGCCAGTGAAAAACACCAGTAAGAAGTAAGAACAGTGACATATCAAATTTTAGTAGATATTTATAGCCAAAAATAGAACATGTTTTAGCAGCTTCACAATGCAGTTTAGTTTAATAGTCCAAAAATATCAACGTGTAAGAGTAAGTAGGGCCAGTAACAAGGTTCTAGAGCATGCTATGTCCTTTCTCCTCACAGGTGAAGCACTCTACTACAGCTAATAGCAGTTATATTATATTTAACAACAGTCGCTCTAGATCCAAGCTTTTGGACTATCCTCGGGGATTGAATGGTCATCACCCTTATGTCGAATCCGCTTGTTTCGAACATTTTGTACGAGTTTGTACACAGACAGGATTATGTTTTTACTTTTGATGAGGTCAAAATACACAACATCTGATGGTTCCATTGAAACTGGATTGAAGAGATGTAGTGGGAACCACGTCTGTGTGTCTGGCTTACACACGTCATCTGTTGTGTACTCCACTGGAAAAGGACAGAATTATATTCGGTAACTGAGATAGGCAAAATGACGTGACAAGTCGGAGTATTGTATTGAAGTAACACTCTGCGATTTTGCCTTCGCACCTTTAATACAACGTTTGCAGTCAACAATTATTCAACAAAATGTGATTATGATTTGCAAACAAAACTATTATTTTTTTCTATTTTGCAGATAGCATTGTTCGAGTATGTGACCAAGCATCACACTTCATCACATACTACAGTTATTTTTTTCCATATATTCGTCCATCTTTTGTTTTTCAATCACTCACTTTAGTGGAAGATATTTTCATTTTCGTTTTAGGAAGATGTCTGTATCACTATACATGGCTATCGACGGTGGTATTGTTTTTCCAAAGCAACTGGACGCGTTGTTTTTTCTCGTTCAAGCGAGTTCTTAATAGCGTTTCCAAACATTATTGCCATCTCTAAGAACGAACTTAGGCCTTACATTACAGGTATGTTTACATGGTTTATATGATACATGTAAATGAAAAATAAATAATTTAATAGGAAATCGTTTCAGAATCTTGTTGCCCAGGATGAACTAAAACATCTAGGAAAATAACTTGAGAAGTGTTGTTTAGAACGCATTTTCTTTTGAAAATATTTATTTAGCGTTGAGTACGATACTGTCTTTTGAACAGTATTTTAAAATAAATTCAAAAAACATAAGTAAAACTATTTTGAATGTCATCAAACGGTTCCTCGCCTAACTGTTAATTCAATTAGCCAAATAATTACATTTTATCTTTTCCTGCTTGTAGGTCTAGAAGGATAAAAAAAAAACATGCGTTAAGATACTAACTAGCTGGTTAGTCGGTGAAAGTGTTTGAGATATATGATACATGAAGACCATACGTTTGTAACTAGTCGACGTTGACCTCAGTAAAATCAGCGTTAAACCAGTTTAGTTTAAACGGACGACATATTTATGTCTGTCTATATATACAGTCATCATCGGGGTGCAGTTCAAGTCGAAAGTTCTAAATTATCATGGCAAAGGCATTTGGCAGTCTCATAGACAAAAAAAGAACGAAGTCAGATCGACAGGTATATTTGATAGCATTAAAATATGTTGCGTGTTATGGGTAAGTAAAGATGATATATACGAGCCAGCGTTGATGAACCAGTTTGTATTCTGTAAACATGTTATATCTATACGGAATGACAACGTATATGCGTCTTGATATCGTACAGAAATCCGTGAAATTAATAGCAAAAATAACCCATCCTTTCTTCAGCAATATTCACCAAGCCCCACTAGACCTGAAATCCTGATCCCACAACTGACTGTAAAATAACAGGGCCCGTAAACCGTTTTCTTCCCTGTATACCCAAAAACATACCAACGTGAAGTTGCTTATTTAAGCAATATTGTGCTGGCCCAATATTGGGCTAGTTTAATATTCATTCCTACAAACATAATTAGAACACTGATGGCGATTTGAACACTATACTACAACATGTCATAGTCTAAGGTATCACATGTAATAGGCCATTACCGATACCCCAGACTAATGATGCCTTATGTTCACATTTTTGAATTTCAGTCTTAAACAACTACTCTTGTTTTCAACGTGCCAGGGCACATTGTAAAGGACTGTTATGTCGCTTTTTAACACCTACTCTAGAATGATGAAAAAACCCAATAAAGCTATATTTACATTGAAGTTTGTTTAAGCGCATAGAGGGCATATTTAGCCTGGGGCTTCGTTGATGACCTTTTAGCAAGTGAATACATTAGATATTGACATGTTGTATTATAAATGATAAAAAGCGACACAAGAGTTCTAACAGTGTGTCCTGGCATGTTGAGAAAAATGGATCGGGACTGAAATTCGAAAAAATGCACAGCGGGCATCTTTAGCCGTGAGTTTCGTTAATGGCCGTTTGTATAGTAACACCTTAGACATTGACATATTGTAGTATAGGTGTTAAAAGGGGGCATAAGAGTGCCGACAGCTAATTATATTTTTAAGATTTGAATATCAAACTAGCCCAATATTGGTCCAGTCAAACGTATACGTTTTATTCTTAAGTGTAAGCATGTGATCCAATCATCTGTATTTACAAAACAGATCTGTATAGTTTAGCTCTAATAAGTTATGTATTTTGTTTTTCCTTCTTAAAGATAGTTGCCCGACATTAGGATGTGAACATTTCTGTGTGAACTTTCAACCTGACGGAAAATGTATGTGTAAGGAGGGATACACTTTGGATACAGACGACAGGCACTGCACAGGTAACAAACGCTTCAGTGATAACGCGTTTTATTATTGTGGATGTGGTTACCATAACTACAATAAGGCTCGATGAAAATAAAAGTGATAGTATCTTTAGGCTGATTTTACGCTTCTCGTTAATTGTTTATGTTTATGTGGTGCTATTTAAGTGTAAATGATTATTCAATTGATTTACATTGGTGTATTTGTGTCTACTTGATTTTTTTGTATGATATATTTCTGATATTTGAATCATAATCAATTCCTTCCAGTGAAGCAAATAGGTATAGGCTTTTTATATATATATAAGGAATATGTTATAGTATTGATGGTAAATCATAAAGGTCTATTTCAGAAGACTTACGCCTAAGGAAGTAAGTCTGATTGAAAGCAAATGAAAGCACGCTTTTACCTTTTGTAAATAAGCACTATTCTAACACTGGAAGCTCCGAACACGTTTTTACTCTGTAAGTTTTAGCAGCATCTCTGTCTTATGATTGCTAATGACAAGGAGGGATCAGGCTAGTACAACCTCTCCTACCTCTCTCTTGATTCGCTCGATCATTTTCACATGGAAGATACGAAAATGGACGAGATAGTTAGTCTGCAGATATCTAATAGTCTTCGGACTAACACATAGTTGATAGTGTATGTACTCTGTGAAATCAAAGCTAAGGCAAACGTTTGAATATAGTTAATTTAGAGAATTACGTTCAACAAAGTAAATAAAGTAGAGGAATCTTATAGCAGTGTCTTTCTTATACCCATACATGATATCGCTTCTCCGAGAGAGAATCGGCGTTGTAAGCATATGTAGAGTGTGAACTTGTGATTTGAATCAGCCATATCATAAAGAAATTACGTTAATAAATCCGCCTTTGGTTGCAAGTAACGTCGTAAACAGCAGATACAGAATTCTGACAAAATTAGTGGGTAGTCAACATAGTAACATTTGTTCCAGAAATCCACTCACTTTACCATAAAGGAATAGTGGTTTCTAACGCCACCCATATCTGTATGCTGAGTGTCCGTACAGTAACAGGTCACGGTGACCCTCTTCGCTGTGCTGGAAACGCTGTACAAGGTTGTAAGCATCTGGCAGTCGACGCCGGTAACACACTTATTTACTACGTTGATACTACATCAAACTACATCAGAGAGTACAATTTAGCTACACATACGATCCGTCAGATTATACCGGTTACCACAGTGTCAGGTAAATGTATATTTATATATATTTTGATTAGTACAAAGTTTTATGTACTTTGAGAACGTATTGATTTTATCAAAAACATCATAACTAAAAAGTAACCTAAGATCAAATTTGCAAACCTACATGTTATAAATGTAGTGATTAAGTCAAGGATATTATCTTGTGTGTCTGTAATTTGTATAAGAAAGTTCCAACTGTTCTTGGAAGTGGGATGAATGAGATAACTTGAATGCAAAAACATATGCACCTTTTTGAAATTTTAATATGTTGTTGCAGAAAGTAAAATAAAGTTGAAAAAGAACATAATATTCCATCCTAATATCTTTGACTGCAAGAATCTCAAGGTTTATCTCCGGAACCTAATTTTCAAAGTAGGCTTTATATCACGATTTTAAGGAATTAATTTAAGGTTGTACACCAAAAATATACTTTTTTTGTAGGAATTGCTTTTGACTGGACAGATAGAAACCTGTATTGGTCAGAATCAACGACGGGCAAATTGAAATACGTAACCATCGCAACAGCTACTGCCAAGGAACTCTTACATGTCACTTCACCTCCCTCACATCTAACGATAGACCCACACACTAGGTCTGGCATCATTCAAATTCATTGATATTCAATGAGACAGATATAAACTCTTAAACAGCCACTGCTGATATATATCTATAAATGTTTGCTACCCTGTGACGTATACAAATTAACAATTTATTATATTCGTAATCTTAAAGATTTTAGGTGAAGAATAATATTCGAATACATTTTTTATGTTTCAGGACACTTTTCTGGGTGGAGGGAACGAGTGGCTATACAATGAGTATCGTATCAATGTCCCTTGTGAGCAAAGCTACATCCGTGGTGTTCGATCAGCCATCGCCTGCCTTTATAAAAGACATATTCTTTGATGTGACTAGTGACATGTATTTAAACTACTCAACTATATTTTATTACAAATTAACGATTGTAATTATTGAAATCTTTGAAATGGAAATGACAAAGCAGTTGAAGTAAAGTTGAGGAGATCATGTTTAATGACATTCACTTTTCTCGAATATCAATTTCTTTTAATATTTTGTAATGTGTTTGCGTACATTTTTTTTGTTCGTGTTATTTCACATACAGGTTGTACTTTGTTCAATCCGACAAGCTTTACAGCACCACACGAGACGGCAGTGATACCCATGTGCATTATAGCAATCGTCAATCTGTTGACCAACTTATCATATACAAGGTACGCAATCTAGTTTTTTTCTGCGATTAACGCAGTTCCGGTCATATCCGTACCGTAAAAAATACTCTCTTGAGATGTAAAATGACGTGACAGTAAACACACTTATGTTCAAAAATATGAGTTCTTATTCTGCCGTTTTATTTAGAATTATTGATGCATGATAATGGTAATGTTCACATCCCATATTATAAACAATGATTGTGCCTTTACCTTGTCCTTTCTTTATATTATATGTTTTATTTTTATTCTAATTTTCTTTTATAATTTTCTTATTAATATATATATTTAACATGGTTATGTTATCGCATCAAATTTATAATACACAAAAACATGCACTTGGCTTTTTAGAGATATGCAATCTGGTCCGAAACTACTAGTTCAAAGGTGTTTACTATTTCTCTGCAACAAAACGACCAACAAACGACCAACTTAACAATCAACATAGGAATGATCAGTGCACTGGCAGTGTATGATGAGGCATTACAAAGACCTTCAAACGGTGAATGTTAATTGATTAATATTACTTAGTATCAATGTCGAAACAGTTATACTATTCTATCGTGCAATAATCTTAGCTACAATAATCATGTACAATTAATGACGTGGAATCTGTCCTGATATTTAACTATTATTCAAAATGTGTCATCTACTTTGTTCTTGATATTCGTAAAAAATTAAATATTCAGATATACAACAGTTACTTCAATATACTTTTTGAATGCTTTATTGTCCGAAATTAAATGATTACTGTATTTTAGGTCCATGCTTTCACATGAATGGAGGATGTGAACAACTTTGCATGACGGGTATAAGCGGAAGTGCTGTTTGTGCATGCTCATACGGATTGACTCTTCAAACTGATGGGAAAAGTTGTAGCAGTGGTAGATAATTTGTTTTAAACTTTGTAGACATTTGCCATATCAAATACTAATATTTTAATGATGTGAATAGAACTCGATTATAAATATAAATTAGCTTCAATTTGTAAACAATTATTTGAAAGTTGAAACCTAAAAGAATAAAAATTCTTGATAAAGTTATCGTACTCTGTTCTACTTTTTTCAGTTCCACAATCTTCCAACTTCCTACTGGTGCCCGATTTTTCTCACGGAAAATTGTTTCAAATATCTACCACGGATGCACAGATTACAGCCTTGGATATCGATATCGTTGAGAAACCAGTTCATGCGGTGTATGATCCGAAGACATCGTTTGTATTTTGGAGCGATATTGATGACGACAGCATTATGAAATCTACTCTCAGTGGTAGAAATGTAGATATAATTTTCACCGCAAAAGGTTAGAATAGCATTTGCATTGATGCTCTTATAACTTGAAAAAGAACGACGCGTGCATAGATGCAAGTATGTTTAGTATTTTATACTTAGTTCTACATTTACAGAAAACAAACTTGTGCTGCCAAGCAAATAACATTTGAATAAGGTTGCAGATGTTGGTATTTGCAAGTACAGTCAATCAAAGGCATTTTGAGTGACGAAAGACGAGTGTTTTGGTTCCTTTTCCGCTACATTATCATTATCTGCAGGTTTTAGTTAAAAAAAATATCTTTAAAATTTAAAATCACCCCGCTACAAGTTCGTAAGGGAGAGAAACATGATGTGTCACATTACCTGTAACCTTAATAAATACCATTGTAGGGCGCTGCAGAATATAGATATTGCTTTAGTGTCTTTCGCGAGGAGAACATTGAAGAAGCTAAAACTGTTTTGCTGCTTCGCCCTTTGCAGCACTTTTGACCCCCCTCCATACCCCCCCCCCCTCTCTCTCTCTCTCTCTCTCCCTCTCTCTCTCTCTCTCTTCGTTCTCGCAGTGATTCCTTAATATGGTCTTAGTTGTTGCGCATGCGAGGGCATAATTCCCCGACTACGAAATAAATGGCAAACTTTTTTTCAAAATTTAATTTGTGTACAGGTATTGACTCGTATCCAACTGCACTGGCCATGGACAATTCTACTGGTAACCTATACTATACAGTATCAGGTGAGGCAGACACGATATCGCCTGGCAGTGTTGGTGTACTCCAACCGTCTTCAGGGTTGGTCAGAACGTTGGTAGACAATTTGAATTTTATATACGGACTAGCTCTGTACCCATCGAAGGGGTAAGTTTCTATTATGATATACCAAAAATATGTAGATTGTTTTATTGTTAAAATGTAGCAAGTAAAACCGGAAAGCCACCCATCCGATATTGCAAATTGTGATCTACTTATTTACTGTATAAAATGATACACCGGCAATGGTGCCAGTATCGGGTGGTTAATACAAATTGCTATTTCCATAAATAGAGATACAAAGTATCGTTTAAAGTTCGCAACAAAGGATGATACTCTTTTTTTTTAATCGAGAAATTGGATAAGTAATCAAAACCGGCATCACAAATATTTAACAGTGATTTAATTTTTGAACCAATTGTTATTTTTAATTTGTTTTCTAATCAAAAAGTACTTTTTATGAATTCAAATATAATCTATTGAATTTAAATTTGTCCTATTTTAATTCTTCTGGTTAATTTTTACTATGATTTTTTAACTGCATTATTTTGCAATATAAACTCATGTGCTGTGTTAAATGACAAAAGCTCCAATTGTCTTCGAGTGTCATGTTTCAAGGTTCGCACCTTAACAACCATTTTGAAATTAAATTTAAAAAAAAGTTCGATTAAAAATATGTGACAAAAATAAACATCAATATATAAGCCAATGTAATTTATGCATAACTTGTCTGTAATTCATCGTATGTTGTGTATATATACTACATTGATACTGCCTGGATAACATCTCAATCTCCTTACTACAGATTGTTGTTCTACACACACCACGATAAAATTGAGACATTCTTAAACATTGTTCGAGTTTCAATGGACGGAACGTTGCCAAGTGTCATCATTACCCTGGATACCGATGATTTCCTCACTAGCCTTACTATTGACTACAGGAGTAAGTAGAACCACACGTGGGTCCAAACCCATCTCTTAACAGATGGTGTAAGATAATTCTTTTTATAAAAATAAATCTCAGTT